TGCCTCATATGTAACTACAATATATTAGATTTTATGTAAGAGTAAAGTTTTATTTTGCTAAACTACAGAAATTTAGAGATTATTACAGCAGCTAGGGATGAGAAAGGGCTAGTGATTACAAAGTTTCAGTGCAAGAAGACTCCTAAATTCCAAAATCCCATTATTAGAAGCATCAATTTATGGCACTACAGAGTAGCTAATGTCTTGAGAGTGATTGATTGGTTGAGGGTCCAGGAAATCTTAGGGGCATATGAGTGCACTTGTTATTTGTCTGTCCACCAATATTATTTTTATTTAAAATCAACATTCTAGCATAACCTTAAATAAGTAATGAAAAGATTTGAAAAGGACATTACAAGTTATCTTGGTACAATTAAAACAGATAAAAAGTCCTAACCATTGTCAATTATTGCTTGCTTAGTCTTAGGTTTACCTATATTGTGCCAGTAAGTGCAGGCTGATATGGATTTGAGAGCCAGAGGATCAAAAGGAGATCCGAGTAAGAAGTTCTAAATCAACTTTTTAAAAAATGCTCTGTTATTCACTAAGGTCCTGCCTCTCTATTTGTTCTCGTGCTATCTTTCTCTATCCTCTTCTCTTCACCCCCCCCTCATTCCACACTGTCCTATTCTCATTAAGTACCTTCACTGCTTTTATGTCCTCCGATTTTTTGCTCTCTATCATAGAATGCGGATAGTCGGTATATATTGAGTGGATACATATAATATCTTTCTTTCATAGCCTGGCTTACTTCACTTAGCAATAGATCCTCCATATCTGACCACTTTCTATCAAATGCCAGGGTCTTGTTATTTTTTATGGCTGAGTAGTATTCCATAGAGTATATATATACCACACGTTTCCAATCCATTCATCAGTTTATAGACATTTAGGTTGGTTCCATGTCTTGGCAATTGTGCATAAAGCTGCAATAAACATGGATGTGCAAGCACTTTTCTGACTGAGCGTTCTCCTGTCTTTTGGGTAAATACCCAGAAGTGGGATTGCTGGATCAAATGGTAGTTCTATTTGTAGATCTTTGAGGAACCTCCATATTGTTCTCCACAGTGGTTGAACTAGTTTACATTCCCACCAACAGTGTAGGAGGGTTCCCTTTTCACCATAGAGTGGGGAAATTAATGTCTCTGTATTGACTGACATGCATGGCATTCCCTTTTGAAAAAGAAATGTAATAGACCGTAAAGTTATATGTAATCCAATGTAATATAAAGAAGATTATGATGATAATAAAAAAAAGTAAAAAAAAAAGCTCTGTTATTTTCCACTGTTCATTCTCCATCTTGAGAGACCTGTTCTTCAATTTTTTAATGTATATCATTTTGGACATTTTCCTATGCCTTAATATATGTCTTTCCCATTTAAATATATATATATTTATTTTATTTCCACACATATCCATATATAGATTTTTCTGTATAAGAATGAGAAAGTACTGTATCAATATGACATTTTTTCTCACTTAACATTTTATGAAAATCTTGCTTATAGTAATATTAGTTAATATATGGCTTAATATATTAATTATTAAGAAATCAATATAACATTAGATATTAATATGTTATATAAAACTTGTTTATATTGATAGTTACATAATATCCCAAGGAATATATTTATAACATTTTATTTAACAATCTCACTATTTATTGATATAAGGATGTGACATTAAAAAAGAAATTTTGCCAGAGGGCTCATGTGCTTGCCGCAGAGAAACAGAGATGGAGAGAGGGTCAGTGGGAGAAGGTACCTCCCAATGGGGTGTGGTCACACTGTAATCCCTTCTCCTCCACTTCTTCCTCCTTTTGGGATTTGGGGCACACACACACATGGGCCCTGCTTGATTTGCAAGCTGCCAGGTCAGGGGCTCAAACTGCATGATCAGCCATGTGGAATCTGGCTGCCTTAACCACTAGACCACAGGCTAGCCCAGGTTATGACATTTTATTATTCTAAATATTGAGTCGATTTAGAGTACATTTGCATATATATAGTTATACACATGTATGTATTGTTCCATAATTTACAATATGCTCGTATGTATATATTTGTACAAATATTTCTGCAGGATAAGTTTTAGCATTAGAATTGCTACATCCAAGGGCTGTGGGGGCCAGGTGGTCGTGCAGTGCAACTGGACCCGGTGGGTTCGTATCCATCACACGATCTCCCTGAGCACACTTGGCATGCTCGTGTGTGCTGTGATCCAAGCCAGCTGAGGCTGAGGGGGACTGCAGCACAATGACCCCGTGGGGTCTGTCTGTTTCTTTCTTTGCTCTCGTTCATAGAAAAAGTAAGTCAACTTAAAAAAAAGAGAGGGTCGCAAATTGTATTTTTTGAAGAAATATTCCTAAATTATTAAGATTGTAGGGAAGGGAAATACCTACTTTGCCTAGGTAGGCATTAAACCTAGAAAGGATCCATCTTTTTATTTTTGTCTATTTAATGGGCAGGAAAATGGTATTTCATGCTTTAAAAATCTATTTCCCTGGTTACTAGAGGGACTGTACATCTTTGTCATATTACTAGGAACTTTCAATTATTCTACTGTGAGTAATGTATTTGTCTCTACTTATTTCTCTGTATTTTTTCTTCATTTAAGAAAAACTGGTTTATATATTCCTATTTTGTTTGTTATATATATATTGGAGACAATGTTACCTATATTTTAGTCTTTTTTTTTAAGTGGATTTTCAAAATATTAAGACCGATTGTCTTTATTTTTGTGATGAAGATGGGAGACTAAAAAATTTTACTTTTTAAAATTGACAAAATTGTATTTGCATGTTTAAATGATGTTTTAAAAATACAAAGGGAGGTCTTCAAAAAGTTAAATATGTTTTTTTATTTTATTTATTTAATTTTTTTGATTTTTTAGAGGTTTTTGCTATAGGTTTTGCATGTGCTCACCAGAAAGACAGAGACAGAGAGACAGAAAGCAAGAAATCAGCCCTTGGGGGGATGGCCATGCCGCAATCCCTTCTCCTCCATTCTCTTCTTGGGATCTTGGGCACACACACACACACACCAGGTGTGAGTTTAAGCCACCGGGTCTGGGCCTTGAACCACAGTCGACTACATGGGAGTCCAGTGACATAGTCATTATGCTAACTGCTGGTCCCGGAAAATGTGTTTTATGAAAAACCATGCATGGATTTCAAAATGGTTTTGCACCAAAATAAACTTGTACTTTAATTCCATTTTTCCTCAGGTTTTTTTTTTTTTTCTTTTGGTCTTAGTCGTAGAGCATGTGTTTGTCAGAGAGAGACAGAGAGAGAGAAAGTGAGAAATCACCACCTGAGGGGATGCCATGCTGCAATCTTCTCCTCCATTCTCTTCTTGGGATTTTGGGCACGCACACACATGTAGCCGATGTGATTTTTAAGCTGCTAGGTCTGGAACTCAAATCACAGTCAGCCATGTGGGAGTCCAGTGCTTAACCACCACACCACCTGCTGGCCCTTCCACAATTTCTTTTTTTTTTTTTTTTGAGAGAGATTTTCACTGTAGGGCACGTGCGCTCGCCAGACAGACAGAGAGAGACATAGAGACAGAAAGCGAGAAATCACCCCCCAGGGGGGATGGTCACGCCGCAATCCCTTCTCCTCCATTCTCCTCTCGGGATCTTGGGCACGCACGCACACACGCCCGGCGTGAGTTTTAAGCCACTGGGTCCGGGACGTGAACCGCGGTCGACTACGTGGGAGTCCAGCGACATAGCCATTACGCTAACTGCTGGTTCCCCCTTCCACAATTTCTTTGAAGTCTCCTCAAATATTCTGGAATTGAGCTAATCAACATGTGTGTTATCTCACATACTTATTTTTGTGGCGAGATTCCTTAAAATCTACTCTGTGCCAGCATAAAACATTTCTTATGACCTCTGTTTCCTCTTTTGTAAAGTGAGTGTAATGAGAATTTCAGACTTATAACATTGTTATAAAGTTTAGACTGGACAATAATTCCTGTAAATCAGCACAGTGCCTGACACTAACCTCCTAACAAATGCTCATTACTGAAATTATTATTTACAGAGCCAGCTGGTGGCATCGTGGTTGGTGCTGCTAGATCCTTCGTGGCTATCTGTGTGGTTGGAGTCCCTGACCAGTAGCCTGAAGAAGCATGCTTGTCGTGTGTGTGTGTGTGTGTGTGTGTGTGTGTGTGTGTCTCCAAAATCCCAGAGGAGATGGAGGAAAAGGGTGCTTTCACACTTTACCTCTCTCTCTTTCTCTTTCTTCTATCTTTCTCTCTCTGCTGAGTTCACATGTATTCTAGCAATTTATTTATTTATTTAGAGATTTTTGCTATAGGTGCATGAGCTTGCCAGAGAGACAGAGAGACAAGACAGAAAGCAAGAAATCACCTCCCCACCAAGGGGATGGGCACACTGCAATCCCTTCTCTTCCATTCTTCTCTCAGGATTTGAGGCACACACGCATGCACATTCACCTGGCATGGGTTTTAAGCCATCTGGTCCGGTACTTAAACTGCGGTGGACTCTGTGAGTCTGGCAATGTAACCATTACGCCATCTGCTGGTCCCACACCACAGCAAATTTTTAAAACCTATTTTTTACAAGGTAGGAAATATAGTTATAGAATATGAGTTTTGTTCTAGTTCCTAAAAACTTTCTCAGTAAAAGTTACTCTTCGTAATATCCAAGAAGGTCAAATACACCCGTCTTTTCTAACATAGCATTTCACATTATGTTTTTAACCAGTCGTATGAAATTTCCATTTCTCAGAGCACTAAATTAGTCATCTCATTCACTCATTCAGTAGGCACTCAAATTCTTATTATACGTTAGGCCTGAGAGATTCAATTATTTTCAGAAGTCCATTTCATTTTCTCTGTATAGTATTTATTCTACCGTCCTTGGAAAAAAATGAAAATTCAAATTCCTATGACGTATAAAGAAATCAATAGAGAATTACAAACCAAGAAGGAATCTTAAAGATTATCTGCATCAACTTTTCATTTTATAGGTGGGGAACAGAAGCCAGAAGAGTCAAGCAAGTTTCCTAAGGCCACCCAGTGAGTAAAGGGGAATTGGGAGGAGAACCCGGACACCCTGACTGACCAGCTGCATTCTGTTGGTCAAATCACACGGTGTTCAAGGATCCTCTTCTTCTTTTGGCCCAAAAGGATTGCAGAAATCGAAAACAGAGAAACACAGGTTTTAAAAAGGCAGAAAGAAAGGAGCTAATAGTATTCAAAACTTGCCAAGGCAGCAAGGGCTCTTCGGCACTTCTCTGCTGGCTGGGAAGACATTATAGTCTAGAGCCCAGTGAGACAGCATTCCAAGTCCCTTTTGTTTCTGTTGAATCTCAACCACCCATATTTACCAGCGATTCTCTTTACTCACAGCAAGCTGTAAACAACAACCCTGTGGGTTGGCGGTTGGCAATCCCCGATCCACATGCCAAACATGCTACAGCTGCCAATTTCAGGGGGCAGGTGAACTGACTGGCACACGCAGATTCCGCCCCTGTCATTTCCAGTACCTATTGCCCACAACCGTCTCCACCCTCTTGCCAGAGTTCACAAGAGAAATAGCCTAACATGGCTTTCTACCTTGCACCAGTGTCACCCTGGCCTTTGTAGGTTCAGTGAGTTGACACCCTCCCCTGGGAAGCCAGTGGTCACTTATCCTCATGATAAAAATGAAGAAACATTCCTGGCATTGTGTATAGTAAGTGCTGAATTTCTGCCTTAGTTGTTTCTTTTCTCCTTCATGATCGTAGAGCAATGCCATGTTCTTAATTATTAATATCCATGATGTGAAAGTGTGCTAAAAGCCGGATTGAACAGATCCTTTTACAATAAGATATCTAATCTTCAATGAATGAAGGGTAGTACAGCTCTAGGCCCATATACTATGGGTAGGAATCTGGACATGATGGCTATGCAATTGTTCATGTAGTCTAAGTTCATGCACAAACCTGTCGTTGGCCATTTGGGATATGAATACCAATAAATACTCTACAAAGTTGACTTAGTTAACTTAAAAATAGACTGCCTGGTCTCAAGTCATGTCTACCACTGGATAGTTTTGTGACCTTGGGTAAATTAATTAATTTCTCAGGACCAGCAGATAGTATAATGGTTACAAGTAATTTCCCAGGACCAGCAGATAGCATAATGGTTACAACACTGGACTCCTGCATAGTGGGCTGTGGTTCGAGTCCCAGACCTGATGGCTTAAACTCACACCAGGCACATGTGCATGTGTACCCAAAATCTTGAGAGGAGAGTGGAGTAGAAGGGATTGTAGCGTGGCCATCCCCCTGGGGGTGTGATCTTTTGCTTTCTGTCCTTCTGGTGAGCAGATGCGCCCTATAGCAAAAAATCTCTCAAAAAAATAAAACAACAAAAAATTTAATTAATTTCTCTAAACTTTGTTTTCCCCATCTTTGTGTAAGGACTTATTAGTGCCTACTTTACAGATTTAATGTGAGGATTACATTAAAGCATTCTATGTAGTGCCTACCACAGAGCAAGTGCTCAGTAATGATAAGCTACAAATCAGTGCCTACTGACCCATAGTTAGAGGGGTTTAAGGAAGGTTAAACATCGAAGATAGGCTAGCAGGTGGTATGGTGGTTAAGGTGCTAGACTCCCACATGGCCGACCTCAATTCAAGTCCTGGATATGACATCTTGCTTTCTCACTTTCTCTCTCTTTCTCTGGTGAGTACACATGCCCTATAGCAAATAAAATAATAATAATAAAAATAAATAAAATTAAAAATAATCTGAAGATAGCTAAAGACTAAAAATTTGGAAATGAAGTTAACAGATAAAGGGTCCTTTATTTACTTAACAAGTTTATGGTGAAAACTCACAATGTGCTAAGACTGTCTAGATGTTGGAGATGAAAAGGTGATTCAGTTCTTATCCTTCCCCATGTGGGAGATGGTGCATAAATAGTAAATGCGCTATAAATCTCAGGGTAATAATTATAAAATATTGGAAATCAAAAATGAATTTAAGTTCCTTGGCCTGGGAGAGGTCTCCTGTTTCCCTACTGAATAGACTGAAACCAGGTTCAAAAGGAGAGAGGCCTGTGGGGCCTTTGTCAACTGGTTCACAGACCACCGAGTCTGGGCTGCAACTGTCGCTTCTGGACAGGATGTTCCTTCCAAGCCTGAGTGGCCTCCTGTGCCTCTAAAGGGGACTTGGGAGAAGCCATGAGAGGAAAGGTTTGGGCAACCTATTGGCCCCAGTGTTCTTCCTGCCTAAAGGACAGTCTTGGTCCAAATAAGACAGTTTATCAAACCTGACAGCATTAAAATAATTTCTGACCTAACAATAGCAGTATAGCTATGTTTGCACAGCACTATAAATCTTCAGAATAAGTCCACTTGCATCTCTTATTTGAGGTTTTTAGTAGGTCTCTGGGAAGCCTAAGAAGTTCTCATTATGCATACTTTATGAATTAGGGATTGAGACTCAGGAAGTTAAGGGACCTCACTGGAAAGAGCACAGGTAGCAAATGGTAGACCTAGGACTAGAACTTGTGACTCTAGCTAAAAATCTCATGTGTTTAAGGGTTGGGCAGCATCTTGGGCCTCCTGAACCCTGAGGACAAACCTAGGAGCGCTCTGCACACAGAGTTCAGGGCCCATACATGTGGCTCCCTGAGCATGGCTTCTAAACCCTATGACTTCTGCTGCTCACCTTCTGCTTTCCAGGGGAGTTTTCTTTTTTCTTTTTTTTTTTTTTTTTTTTTTTTTTTTTTGAGAGAGATTTTCGCTATAGGGCGCGTGCGCTCGCCAGACAGACAGAGAGAGACATAGAGACAGAAAGCGAGAAATCACCCCCCAGGGGGGATGGTCACGCCGCAATCCCTTCTCCTCCATTCTCCTCTCGGGATCATGGGCACGCACGCACACGCGCCCGGCGTGAGTTTTAAGCCACCGGGTCCGGGACGCGAACCGCGGTCGACTACGTGGGAGTCCAGCGACATAGCCATTACGCTAACTGCTGGTTCCGAGGGGAGTTTTCTTGATACCTACCCCTGGAATTATAGCCTTTACTCTTGTCTTGTCACTTGAATGCATCCTTCCAAATGGTGCAATGCAACATCTGTTATGAAACTAACCCACCATTTAAAGACTGTGTTAGGAAATATTAGGATTACAAATTATATATCCAGTTTGGTTAAATTACCAGAATACTTTCTAATGCTCTTCAACTGGTGAACCATCAATTTAAACCTGCAATGTCAGTCTCTTTCCTTCACTGTTTTCAGTTTGATTGTCCTCCTAGTCAAGATGTTGCTACTCATTCCTGACCCTTGTAGTCACAAGGGTCTGTAGTCTGTAGTCACAGTCCTTTCTTGGTTCCTCATCCTCATTTTCACACCCTAGAATGTAATCAAGCTGTACTTTTCAGCTTATAGGTACTTTTCTGTCTGAAGCCCAATGGCCCACTTTCAGCTAGATGTTGAAAATTTCTTTCTCTTCTCTTCTTCTGGAGCTTCATGATCTCTTTGATTTTTGTATAGTAATTTGGCAATCATATTGCAAATTTGATTCTGGACTAGGTATTGATGAGTTAGAGGCATTAAATTATATAATCTCTCTGTGTGTGTATTTTCTCACCTACAAGCAGTATGACAGTCACAAGGTTGTTGTGAAGATTTAAAGACTACTCGAAAGATGCATAGGGCAGTACTTTGCCAGTCACTCAGTAAGTGTGTGTGTGTGTGTGTGTGTGTGTGCACATGCATGTGCATGAACATATGAGTGGTATATGTGAAACTAGTGATATTCTGGGGAGTACACTCTGGAGTCAGTTCCAGACTAACTCTCTAATCTCAATGAGGACAGCCTCCCTCCCCATCCTCTCTGTTTCTGTGTTCCATAAAACTTTGTAACTCCTTTAAACAATGTGAATAAGAGACACCTACAAGACAAGAAACCGTCCATAAATAACAGCTATCTTGGCCTCTTCATGGTTCATATTAAACTGGGAAGAAACTGACATTCTAATGTAACCTGTGCTGGTATAGGTTAGCTTTATTCTCAATTTGATAAGGCTGTTAATAATGTGCTACATCGTCCATAAGGAGTGGCTGAATCTGAGTTAAATAATGGTGTCCTATAAAGACTAGTGAAGGCACAGACCACTCTCTTGGACCAATGCTGCACAGCTCATGGAGGTTAAAGGTAACTATGTTTCGGCAAGAGAGGGTCAGGAGAGGCTTGTTTAGAACTGCAAAAGGCAAGATGCTCAACAACTTCAGTTGATAGAAAACACAGGACTTTACCTTCCATTTTCCACTCCTCCATTGCCTTGTAAAAGAATAAACCTGGGAATGGTTTGGGGTTGCCTCTCAGGTTGTGGCAGTTGTCCTTCTTAGAGAAGGCTTGGGAGCCAAATCGTTTGAGTATGAGACTAACATTTACCCATAAATATGGAGTAATAATGGGAAATGGATTTGCTACAAAATTAGCTGGACTCTATATAGTACTTATCAATATGGAGTGAATGGCACAGAGTAAATATTATAATAGTTATGCCACTAATATTAAAAGTTATACTTTTTTTTTTTTTTAAATTTAACCTCTCTTTGCATTCGGTTGCCTCTCACTGAGGCTTTCCATTCCTACCCAGCTAGAAAGTTGGATTTGTTACTTGCTGACTCCTTGTAAGTAAGGTGTGTGTTCTTATCCAGAGAGAATCATGGACAGTCTTGCTGAGAAGCTCCAAAGAGTTTAGAAACAAGTGGACATTAAAATCTCAGGGAAGACTGAAAAGTAGTTTTTGTGTGTGTGTGTAACCCTTCGGTATTGCCAGTCGAGTGTTCACAGATTCATTCTCTTACCGTGGAAATTGTCAGACAGATTATACGATTTAATCAGTGAAAAGGCATTTAGGCACATCTGCTCTTTGTAAGAAAAAGTCCAATTGTGGGGAGACATCCAAATGTGGGATGGAAATGGACAGAGGTATCAAGGGTTCTGGACTCCTGTCTGTCACTACAATACTTAACAAAATCCTCACTGATGCAACTACACTTGATAATGC